ACTAATGAAGGATGTTAATACATTATTTATGTAAGTGTTATTATATTATTATAATTAATTATTACTGTCAAATTAATATTTGTCTAATTGATTAATTAAAATATATAATTGTCTTAATTATATACAACACTATAGTTATGAAAATAAACACAACAATTAGAAAATACTATTGGATGAGGTCTCTGTAAGGCCTAGGCTTTATGTAAAGAAATTAAACCCTCACCTCAAATCCTCGTCTGAAAAGCACTTTCGGCAGCAAAAATCTCTATGACGCGCTAAAATCAATTTCCGACATGGACAATGAAAGTCGAAACTCAAAAAAAATTGTACATATTTTGCGGATATGTGAACACTTATTTTTAGGGCAAAATGGATGAATTAGATATTTTATTAGAATATATACTGTTTTAAGAGCTTGAAAGCCTTTTTTTTTTACAACCATAATATTCAAGTTGGGATGACTGATGTAAAGGTTTTTTAATGTTTGAATTGTAATTTTGGATGAGTTATGAGGCTAGGCTTTACTTACTTTGATAGGGCTGCTACCCTATCAAACTATTTTCCAATATTATTATCATTATTCAAATTACTCAATCACAATTATTCAAGCCAAATAATATTATTCTTTATTTTTGAATCAAACAATAAATTAAATTGATAAATTCAATAAATAAAATATAATTATGTTAAATGGAGAAAAAAATATTACCAAAATATAATAAATAAAAAAAAACTCATTTTGTTACCAGACATTTTAAAAGAGTGTTTAAAAATTGACCACGTCTAGAGATCTATGATTAACTGGTATAAAATCACAACAATTAGAAAATATTATTCTCATTATTCAAATTACTCAACCACAATTACTCAAGCTAAATGATATTCTTCTTTATTTTTTATTCACAAAATAAATTAAATTTATGTATTTAATAATTAAAATATAATTAGGTTAAATGACAAAACGATAGAAATAAATATGGTACCAAACTACAATAAATAAAAGAAACTCATTTTATTTCCTACAATTTTAAAATAGTGTTCAAAATTTGACAGTGTCCAGAGATATACAATTAGGCTGTAAATCACAATCCGACAAAAAAAAAAATGTCAAAATTAGAATAAAACAAAATAAGATAAAAAATACAAAAAGAGACTTTAGAAGGGAAAAAGTGGAGAGACTTTAGAAGGGAAAAAGTGGTAGACATTGTAAGAAAACTTTGAGACTGATATAAAACCACAATAAATTAGAGATTACTATTGTCATTACTCAACCACAATTACTCAAGCTTAATAATATTCTTCTTTATTTATGATTCACATAATAAATTAAATTTATATTTTCAATAAATAAAATATAATTAGATTAAATGGCAAACGACACAAATAAATACAGTACCAAACTACAATAAATAAATAAATAAAACTCATGTTGTTACCTATAATTTTAAGAGGACGTTCAAAATTTGCAGCATCGAGAGATTTATGATTAGGCCATAAATCAAAATTTGGTAAAAAAAAATCCAAATTAGAATAAGACAAAATAAGATATAAAAATATAAATAGAGACTTTAGAAAGGGATGGGAGTAGATACCATAAAAAAAAAAGAAGCTTTGAGACAAAAAGAAAGTGAAGGTGCTTGGAGAGAGAGAGGAGGAGAGAGCGTGGAGAGGGAAAGAGCCTCGAGAGGAAGAAAGGGAGGGAAAGGAGGAGACGGGGAGAGATTTAAAAAAAGATAAAAAAAGAGATATCCAAAAAGAGATTGTGAGAGATTTAAAGAGAGATGGATGAGTTAAGGGAGAAATAAATAAAAAAACAGAAATTATAATTGATTTTTAATTTAAGGAGAGACTGGTAGAGAGATTTAAGAAAACCACAACTCGATCTTGTCTGTTCATGTTTTGTTATTAGGGCCTGCCTTCAGTTGTTCAAACTCAAGTTCCTCTCTCTTAATACATCTTGAGTTTGAGGAGAGGTGTGAAAACATAAAAACCTGCATTCATTTTTTGAAAAAATATTGTTCTTTCCTTTTATGTGTTAGAAAAGTGGTTCATTACCTATGTTAGTTTCTTTAGTAGTACACAATTTTATAACCCTATAAATTGGGACTCTCGTTCACATATTCGATAAACTCTGAAATACATCTTCTATAGGAGCTTAAGGCTCAAATATACAAAAATATAGTTTCTAACATTATTAACTTATTCATTCATGTCACGACTAATATTATTACCATATACATGCCAGTAATACAACGTTGCAAGGATAAATAAAAAGAACGCATAATCCATACATTACTTCTACAACATTGGCAACATAAGTAACACAAAAATAACTTAAAATGTCGACACACGAAGGAAAGAGGAACAAAGAAAATGATAGAAAATAGAGGATAAAAAAAAAAACCTTAACACAAGTGCTCTAATGTTTTATGCTATATTTTGTTTTGTCATTGAATGGCCTTATGAATATTAAAAAAATAAAAATAAAAATTAATAAGCAGTCTAATGTTTAAAACATCAGAACAAGACATAGTTGAAAAAAATAAAAAAAATTACGAGGAGGTTAATCCTTCAAGGTAAATACCGCTTATTTACTTACCCAAAAAAAATACTGCATATTTGTAAAGCTGTTTGATATAACAGTAAAATAAAACAGTAGCGTAATTTTCTCTAGTATCTTACAGCCACAACTAGAGAGAGAGGGTAGTAGAACATGGACATTTAAAATTACACACACTCACGTTTACATTCATTTACAATGGGGTTGGGAGAGAGAAAGGCTTGTTAACAACTTAACATATTAAAAGCAGAAATAAAGAAGAGAGAGAAACTTTAGAGAGAGAGAGAGAGAAGTAGCAGCTCAACTAAAAAACAACATACGGAGTTTTAGAGAGAGAGAGAGCATAAACTAGGGAGATCGACGGTGGAGATTAAAGAGAGAGAGAAAGAGCAACAGCAGGAAGGTCAAAGCCCCGAAGAAAGCGACAAGGGTGGCCGCACCAACTTGCTTGCAAAATTGATCAAAAACATCGCACACTTTATTCCATTTCACGTGCGAATTCCCATTGTGCGCAACCACGCCTATTGCACCCGATGCCCCTACACTCGAAAACAACAACCCAAACATAACAACGTCGCACGTGCAAAGCAGCAGGGACGAACGCTTACCAAACGCTTGTAGGATGAGGGAGAGAAAAGCGTACACCGATGCAATAACGTTGGCCACCAATAGGTACCTGCACTTCTCTATTGTTAAATAAATAAAAAATAAAAAATAAAAAAAAGTAAAAGGTATTGGGGTCGTTGTGGCAGCACCCCATCCTAGTCACCATGTCGTAGTTTTCATTCCCATAACTAACACCAATACACTGATACCATGAAAAAAGCTAACTTCTAAGCCATTGAAAAATAAAAGTACGGGCATATCTTCCCCCATTGAATTACTTAAAAATAAAAATAAAAAAATAATCAAATTTGAGCCTAACTCAAAAATTCTACAAAAAGAGGTTCTTTTGATGCCCAAATATCCTCAAATTGATCATCTCGACATCAAAATGCATGGAAATGAAAAAAAAATAGATTTCAAGTTTTGAAAATAGTGTATTTTGTAATACATTGTTTGACCATCAATTTTCAAGATTTTCAATTTTTCATATATCTATCGATCTACACTATTTTTGAAGCTTTAAACTTTATAAATAAAAATGAAAATATATTTTAAGGCTATCAAAAAGATTTCTACTATTGAAACAATATTTTTCGACACTATTTGAAGGTAGGCTCTAATTTGATTGTTTAAAGCCTAGGCTCTATGCTTACAAAAAAAAAAAAACATGGTCATAATTAAAAAAAAAATTTGTTTCATGCAGCGGGTCCAAATATTTACTTAATAGATTTATTATTTTTAATTTTTAAAATTTATTTATTCTTTATGTTCATGATCTCCGTGTAGAGATTACATGTCCTTAAAAATTACGTCAAAAAATCTACCTCAAAAATAGATTTTCAAGAAGTGACTCATTTCTTCATGGACCTATAGAAACCGAATGCAGAGTCCTGGAGTCCCACGCTGAATCAAAGCTCGGACTTAGGGCTTATGAACGCCATTAGAGATATTTTAGTAATTTAAACTGGTGTTTTAAAGAACATTTGAAATTCCTAAACTTCGTTTGAACATTTTGAACTCTTTAGATTTTGATTGTAATGTTTTTTTAAACTACTTTCAGCCAAGCCAATTTGTGGACTCGACCAGTTTGATTTGAACCAATTGGCGATTGGTTCGATGCGGCCAAGTGAATTTTTGGACTTAATTTTTAAAGACATGTAATCTCTAACATGGAGATCATGAATATGAAAAAATAAATAAAATTTTAAAACTAAAAAAATTAATTCTAGTAAAAAAACATTTGAACCATTAGGTTCCGGTCTTTTAGATGGAACACCTACTTGCATCCATCTTTATGATGGATGCTTTACACTTTTGTACCGCATATGTAATCATGCGGGCTAGCCCGAATTAAACAATTTTCCTTCTTAAATTTTTTTTTTTTTTTTGAAATGATGCTATTCTCAGATTTCTTTCCTTTCCGAGATGGGATTTTGATGGGTAAGCGCACCATTTCAAACATGCATCCTTCAAAAGTTTACACATATATGGATTTTCTGCGTGAAATTTCACAAGTTGAAAACCTCGGTGACGACCAACATGAATATTAATTTCAAATTGAAAAAAGAGATGGATACAATATCACTGAGGGTAGGGGCGGGTATGCGTCAGATCCGACCGGACCCGGACCAAGACAAATGGTATTTGGGTCCAGGTTTTGGTCCATTGCCGCCCCTAATTGAAGAAAAGGGAGGAGAGAGAGAGTTATCTTTGCTTATAGTGAAAGACTCTATTTCCTCTTTTAATGGGAATTATTATCTTCTCTTATAATTTGTACATAAAACGTTATCTAAAAGCTTCCTTTTGTTTCTTAATAAGTCTAAAATAAATATAAAATATAAATAGATCTATGGATCCTAGATTTTTAAAGACCGGGACTTTACTATTTTTTTAACTTTTCGAGACAACTGCATTACAAATGATCGATTGTATGAATTTCTAATTCATAACTTTCTCTTCAATGTGAAATCATTCTCTCTCCACCGTGCATTTTCCAAAAAACTCCATAGCAAACAGTATTTTTTTGCTCTCGCTCTCTCTCATCCATGTAGTTTGACTAACTAAATGAAATTGGAAAATTTTTTAATATATATTTTATTTATTATATCTATTTTATTTTATTTTTCCTAAAATGCAATCCAATCAATTCGACCAGTAATTGGATCATTTTTTTATTGGGACAATCCCTCATCAATTCGGTGGATAGTCCAATCTAGAGAACGCTATAACTGGCCTTATTAAAATAGCAATATACATTAAAAATGGGGTTTTCAACCCTAATTCTTTTAATGAAACAAATACGACGTATTGTCATTTAAAAACAAATATTCGAAAGAACTTTTAAAAATGCCAAAAGGATTTGCTACACAAGCATATTGTCCATTTAAGAAACTCCATCTAAGAGTATTATTAGGACACAAAATTTTGGGAATGTAACCACTTCAACTAGGTAATTGGCATAAAAAAAAAAAACTCCAATTGATACTTAAAATGTGACTGAAATAATAACATGAGATGGTCTAATTCTTAGAGGGTGAGATCTAAGTGTTTAAGAACTTGAAATCTAATTTTTCATTACGTAATTACCTGGTGATTCTAAGTGGATCCTAAAATGTTAGAACAAAAACCAAATATATATTTTGCACGAAGAGTAAGCGTGCGAAGCATAGCATACGCGCTCATGACCTTACTGTAGATTTGTCGTTGTTTGTCATTTAAGAATGAGTATCATGGATATAAGCATGTCTACTTGCTCTGCCACGAGCACATGCAGTTACGCCCTTAATTTTTTAAAAAAAAAAGGGTAGAATAAGACTATTTTTACTTTTGGGACAAGGTGTTCACAATTAATCTTGACTATTAAATATGAACTTGGATGGTTGCAGTTATTTTATTGACCAACTTCAAACTTCAAAATAAATTTTTTTCAAACTTTGTGACATACCCAAGCTATTAAATTTCACAACGGATGGTTGTAAGTAATTGTGATCACCTAATACAAAAAATAAATGATCTCATTGTATACAATCCCTTAAAAAACTATTGAATTTTGAGTTATTGGAACACTTAGATCTCACCTTTAAAAGTCGAATAGTTTCTATGCAATCTTGAGACATTATATTTTTCAAGCCCGTAGGGAATGCAATTGGAAATTATTTTTTATTAGGTTTAGATTCCAAGATCCTCAATATACTCTTAAATTGGATTTTTCGTGGGGGAGTAAAATATACTCTTAAATTGGATTTTTCGTGGGGGAGTAAAATGTACAATATGCTACCTGAGGAGAATGAAATATTTTGGCCGTAGATATTTACCACCGGGTTATTCGTGGCGCAGTATTGGGCATATAACGTGGCAGTTCTCGGTGATAGACGTGCAATGGGGTGCATTAATTTACTCCATCAAAATTTTGTTTGCCGTTATTAAGATGAAAACTAAATTATAATGATGTTTTACAAAATAAAATATTAAATGCTCTTTTTTTGCTATAAACGTACTTAAATATGAATTATATTATTAAAACATCAAGATTAATATAATAAAAAAAACCCTAATTTTTGGATCGGTAAGAACAAATTAAACTACAAGTGCATCTTGTATAAATATGTGAAAAAACATTACAAAAATTTTTGACTGTTCGTTTTCAAAGATGTATAAATATGTGAAAAAATAAAAATTTTGAGTACAAAAACTAGTACATCTTGTAATATATTATCTAGATGATTCATTTTCAAGATTTTCATGTGTTTATAGATTTACTTGATTTGAACTATTTTTAGAATTTTAAAAATCATAATTAGAAATATTCTAAGAAATTTTTACACCAAAATTACATCTTAAAATAAAATTTGGATGTGCACTTTATTTAGATTGTTTAAGGTTGCAACCATACAAACAGCACCTTTTACTTTTAGTACTTGGAGTGTGTCCATCATATTTTTTGTTCTAAGAGTCTCATTGATTAGATTCAAAGTTGAAAAAACATTTTTACACTTTTTACACTTTTACATGGCTAATAATAATTGTTACCTCTTTGTAATAAAAATAAACGGCCTAGGGATATTTTAGGAACATCCCATTTTTAATTTTCAAAAAAATAAGTTTTATGGTAATGACTTCTAAAAACAAGTTATTTCATTTTCAAATATATTCATTAAAATGATAAGCATGTTTAACTTGTAATAAATACCATCATCAAAGAAATGCATATTTAAAATAATTTTGTATTAGGTAAAGATATGATCAAATTAAAAATACCAAAGAAAGATAACCTTTCAGTTTTTTAATAAAAATTCAAGGGACTGTAAGTCTATTTTACTGTTTGGAGTCGCTTGATGTTGAAAGCTCGATTTCGAAGGATTAGAACCCTCCTAAATTACACAAAAAATAAAGTTTAACACTGAGACACTTCTAAACTTAATTTAAGGGAAAAAAAACTCCACACACATAATAATAAATAAATAAATAAATAAATAAATAGCCCTCAAATTTTCGAGTAATTGAAGCAAAGAGAAGAAAGAGGATGAAAGGATATCCTTACACGAAGGCAGAGGAGTAATGGTATTTTGCGGGAACAGAAACGATCAAGGGTGGTGCTCCAGGAATTAACGTAAACGGGACTGATTTGGTTTCTCTAGCGGTTCCCATCACCGCAGCCGCAACCAAAGTTAGTACAGCAGCGAGAGTCCTGAGAAAAAAGCTAGCCCACACCAAACACTTTGGAGGAAGAGGCTTTCCTCCAACTTTTCCAGCAATTTCCATGCCTTCACTCACATTTTGCTTAACATGACAAGCCATTGTGTGGCAATGCTAAGTGCTCACAACCAAGACAATATCAGTTGTTGAAATCCCCCGCTCAATTAAGAAAGAGAGAGAGAGAAGATGAGTAGTTGAAATCCTTTTAAGATGAGAGAGGAGAGAGAGAGGGTAGAAATCCTCTTAGAGAGAGAGAGAGTTGGAGATGGGGTTCTCACAACATAGAGAAGATGAGTAGATATGAAATCCTTCTAGAGAGAGAGATGAAATACTCCTAGAGAGAGAGAAAGTCTTGGAGCTGTGTGAAAAGTTTGACGGGGAGGTTGGCACATTGAATGCATTATCTACACAAGAATAAGTGATATTTAAATTTTTCAAGAGCACGTATTGAATGCCATTGATATTTAGTCATTTACCAACACGCCATTAACTTCCTCGGGCTAAAATGGACAGAAGGAAGCATTGCATGGTGACTCTGGTTTCGTAAAAGTAGATAGCTTGGTGTGTACCACAGTGATTAAGACTGACTCGGTCGAAGTGGTCTGTCTAGTTAGATTGGCACTTTGGTAGGTTTGGACTGAGGTAAAAAAATTGAGTTCAATTAAAAATCTAAAAAAATTGAGTTAAATTAAAAATCAGTCAAAATTAATGTTTGATGTTTTGTTGGTCTAACTAACTTGTTTTGACTGGTTAGAGTGATCAAACAAAATTCAAAATATTTTTATAACAGCATATTTTATATTTATAAATAATTATTTAAAAATTTACATTTTAAAAATATAGTCCAACTTATTCAACTGGCAGCCAAATTAATTTCGACTAAACCTTCACCATATTACACAACCCGTTTAATCCTAATAAATTTGGTGTCCACTTCAAAAGTGTCAAGAACCTTTGCTCCAAAAAGAATCCATCGTTACTTACCACGAATGGACGTTGGGGATTAATAGTACCATGCGTCGTTGCTATTTACTCACGTAAGTTTGACCTTTATCAACAAAAATGATTATTTCCCGGTTCTATACCCCTCGAATAGACCACAACACTGCCAAAATTTGAAAGCCCTAAACTATACTTTTAGAAGTAAGTCATTTGAGAGAACATCTTCGAGGTGCCAGTGCCATCACTCATTATTGTCAAAGCTTTTTTTTTAACTAATTGAAGTAAATAGATACTACAAATAATTTTTTAAAAAAATCTTGCACAATCAAATATTGAGAAAAATAAGTCGCCTGGGGAAGTAGCTAGAACACTTTTGATGTCTACAAGTTTTCAATTAATGATTTATTTCTGGGACACAGTGTTTATGAGTCCAAGGACTCGTATGTATATATACGCATCCCCTCTTCATGTTTCATTTTTAGGAGAGGTTTTGGACCTAATTTTTTAGATGTACATAATTTCTAACATGAATATCAAAGAATCCCTAAAAAAAAAAAATATGTAGTTTTTAAAAACTAAAATTTTTAATAAATATTTAAACCATCGATTTTTATGTCTCGGGGGATGTAAATGTAGAAATGTCCTACGCATAAGGCATTTATCCTTATCTGTATTGACATTTTCAGCAGAGATGCAGTACTCTGCAAAAGTTCTAGACCAGATCAATGAAAAATTTTCAAGCTAACATTACAAAAAAAAAAAAAAAAAACAAAAAATTACAGTTGAAGAAAAGGACAAATGATTAAATACCTATTGAAATAATTGGGTACACGAATTAAGTGACAATACAAAAACAATGAATTAAAATGTGAAAGGGCCAGCTTTGAATATCCGCGTCGAAAGTGGGGAAAGGCATTTAAGTTATCGCTGGTTATGTCAACGCCTTGTATATTGCCAGTCACAACTATAATCCACTTTCTCTTTGGATGATATTTTCTTCTTATACTCCCGCCAGAGTGTATTGTCCTTTTGCTCTCTCGGGTAAAAGCTACTCTAGGGTCAATTTTAAGACCCCAAAATTTGGTGATATAGCATCTTCAACCTATAGATTAACCTCAATAAAGGAATTACCTAATTTCATAATCTATGCACTTAAAAATAAAAACTATCTTAAGATTGAATAGATACCGTTCAATTTTTAGATAGTGAGATCCAAGTGTTGGAGGATTCAAAATTCACTTTTGTTTCTTTTAAAAATAATATTATTAGGCGGTTCCTAAAATTTGAGATTGAAAAAGTCCTTTGAAGTAGGTCTTTTGATCGAGGAGGTAGATTTAGACAATGCTCCCGCGCGAACATGGTACACACGCTTCTGAGTTATTGTCGTTTACTTGTAAATTTCAAATTATCATGCTTTGTCGTTATTGTTTACAATGGAAAAAAGAGAGTTCCAGTAGATCCAAATATTCTCATTGTGGTTCAAACCAAGGAAAACCTACCAAGGTATGGAATGGGTGCAACAAAATGACATTGACCGGATTAAAATGGAGGTGGCTCACGGTATCATCATCATCAAAAAGTCGTCTTTTCCTAACTCATTAAGGTCAATAAGAGGTGGATCAGATAAATGATAAAAATTCATGGGTTTTTCAAATTATAGAGGGTTATGCATTTGGAAACCATTGCCTTTTGGCCAATTTTTGAAGCAAATCAGCTAGCAAAAGATGGGATGTCACATATGGAGCTACTAGTAGACTAGTGTTGCTTTGGCCGAAGAAGTCAAAGCTTTAAGATTTTAGGCCTAGACAAAAGCGAAGCGATATCTGGTGCTACCGTTTCGGTCAGCCTCTAATTGATTTGGCCGAAGCTTCGGCCTCTTCGGTTGAAACAAAGTAATATCTATATAAAAGTATTTTTTATTTTTATTTTTATTTTTAAATTTTTTATTATTTTAATATTTTATATAAAAATATCTAATTTATTTCTATTAATTCTTTTTTAAAAAAGTTTGAAATCTTCTCCTGAATTGGCTGAAACATCGAATTGCTTTATTTTTCACACCAAACCGAAAAAGACTGTGAAACGAATCTCACAGCATTAGGTTAGACGTAGTTCTTTGTATTACATATTTATTTGTTGTAATTTTTTCTCTTTGATTTAATAAAGTTAGTAATATTTGTAAAAAGAAAAAAGATGCGAGTACTAATTTTGATTTCCAAACTAATCACTTCTTCATATAATTTGAAAAAAATATTTATCTTTTCTACATATAAGTTTCAATTATTTTCTCTCTTTTGAGTTTTGAGTGTCAAAGTATAAACTATTTTTCTAGTTTGTACATGACGCTTTACGTTCTTTTGTCATATTTTTTTATAATTGATGTATAATGAGCTTAGTGTACAAAATGGCCCAAAACATCCGTCCACTTTAAAATCACAGATATAAATTAACATCCATTCCAGCAAACTGATCCGTGGGAATTGGGACGGGTTGACCCATGGACCCGATGGCTCCACTCAAACCCGATGGGTCTATCTATGGACTTAGAAAATGGATTGGACGAGTTGGGTCTAGTCCACTAGACCTTGACCCAACCGACTAGAACATATTAATATAAATTATTTTATAAATAATAATAATTATGTAGTATACAATGTATAAAATAATTTTTACATATTTTTTATTTATAGACACCTGTACCGGATGTGTTCCAAACCAGTAGGTTAGGTCCAGGTCCAATTGACGTCGACTCCAATTCCCACCCCTATGACCCACCACCAAATTTCTCTCTATTTTAATATGTTGGAAAATGACCTCTGTCATCCACGTCCAACAACAAAGTATAAGGCACTTGCTAAAATCTTATGTTATTACATTAAAAGAATGAGCAATCATACTATGAGACCCTCCCATACCTATGCGAGTAAGACTCTAAATGATCACCATTAAATTTTGACACAGATCCTTAAAAAACCTAATCATCGAAATCCCACACCTATGTCATGACTTTTTTAGATATTTGTATCAAAATTTAATAGTGATCCTTTAGAGTCCTACTTACATGGGTGTGGGAAGGTCTCATAGTGTCATTACTCTAAAAGAAGAGTTCACCCTCTTTAATAATCTTTGTGAGAAAGTACATAGACATTTAATATCCTACGAAACAGCTTCTAGCTCAGCAACATTAACTAAGCAATGAAGCCATTCATGTTCTTCTATGTTCTACATGAAACCAGACCCGTTGAGCTCTCAATAAAATTCATTCTCTGTTACTTTGAACTTCTTGGTTTTGTTAGAAACAACAACTTGCAAATGAAGGTTTCAGTAAAATAAATGGACTTCAGAGAGAGATAGACAAAAAGAGTAATAAGAAGTAAATTGTAATTTTTGGGAATATTTCATTTGTCCTTCATTATCGTTGTACATTTGTGTAGGGATAGTTTGGTCTAAACTAAATGTTGTATTGTATATAAACCTTTTTAGGGTTTCATTCTTTTTCACGAGAATTAACCACATATTCCATTCCTCTGTCTCTCTCTATCATCTTTGGTTTCTCGAAATCTATCAGAGAGTTTTTTTTTTGAGTAGTCCAGTAGGAATGGGATCTCTTACTAGTGACGGAAATGAAACTCAAGATATGTTGTGTGGCGCTCCCACACCCTAACCCCCTAGACTTGAGCTGATTTATGATTTTTTTAGTAGGAAAAATATCTCAATATACCCTAATTTAATGTACCATTTCTTAGTAGACCTCCAAATTTAAAAACTTTCCGGCAGTTTTAGTTTTTCACAAAAGCTATATTCTAACCTGTTAAACCCATATGACTCTCTTTTGTAACAACTTTTTGTCGCAAACAAAATCCAGTAAGACAACTCTCTTTCTCTCTCTTGTTACTGTTTTTTATTTCCCTCTCCCCTCTCTCTCTTATTCCTTCTTATTCTCCCTAAACCCCCCTCTCTCTCTCTCTCAGTCCTATCTCCCCTATACTCTCCTTTTCACTCTCACCTTTCTCCCCCAAACCCTCTTTCTCTATCTCTCGCCTCTCTCCCTCAAACACAGCCCCTAGGTATGGTTATAACGCCTAGAATCTGGCTGCTCAAAGCTGCAATGGCCCTAGAATTGCGATAACCCACATTTTGGTAGAAGTGAATGAAGCCCTTAAGAAATACAAACGCATCTCCCTTGTTCAATGTCCTGCAAATCAAATGTTTTTCAAGATTGCTGGTCACAAAGCTGACTTGCACATGGTTACTTCCATGATTTTGAGGATCTCAATGGCACGTGTTT